ATAGTACAAATAATCCTAAAATTTATATGGAACCACAAAAGACCCTGAATAGCTAAAGTGATCTTGAGAAAGAAGAACAAAGATGGAGGTATCACATTTCCTGATTTCAAACCACATTACAAAGCTATAGTAGCCAAAACAGTATGGTATTGGCATAAAACAGACACATAGAACGATGGAACAGAATAAAGAGCCAAGAAATAAACCCATGCATATATGGTCAGTTACTTTATGATAAAGGAGCCAAGAATATACAATGAGGGAAGTACAGTCTTTTCAGTAAGTAGAATTGGGAAAAGTGGGCAGCCAAATGCAAAAGCATTAAACTGGACCCTTCCCTTAAAACATACACAAAAATCAACTCAAAATAGACTGAAGACTTGAACATGATACCTGAAACCATAAAATTCCTAGAAGAAAATAAAGTCTTGGTGATGATTTTTTGGATTTGACACCAAAAGAAAAGGCAACAAAGGAAAAAAAATAAATGAATAGGACTACATTAAACTAAAAAGCTTTTGCACAGCAATGAAAAGGCAACCTATTGAATGGGAGAAAATATTTGCAAATTATACATCTGATAAATGGTTAATATAAAAATACAATAACTCATAAAACTCAATAACAAAAAACAATCAATTAAAAAAATGGACAGAGGATCTGAGTAAACATTTTTCCAAAGAAGACATATAGATGGTCAATAGCTACATGAAAAGATGTTCAACACTGCCAGTCAAGGAAATGAAAATTGAAAGCACAGTGAGATAACACCACATACTTGTGAGAATGGTTATTATCAAAAAGACAGAAGATAACAAATGTTGGTGAGGATATGGAGAAAAGGGAACCCTTGTGCACTGTTGGTGGGAATATAAATTGATGCAGCCACTGTAGAGAAAAGCATGGAAGTTCTCCAAAAATTAAAAATAGAATTATGATATGTTGCAGCAATTCTAATTCTGGGTACTGATCCAAAAGAAAACTGAAATGAAAATCCTTTCTTAGCTCTTTACATCCCTGGTAGGTGTCAGCAGTCCATCTGCCTCACCTGACATGTCTCTTTTTAATCTTCTCAAGACAAATTCTATCTGACCTTGAGATGCCTCACTCATGATCCCTTACACTATTAGGAGCATGAAAGAACCCACACTCTCCAGTAGGTACAGAGGTCTCCAAAGCCTAGCCTTATGCCCTAGACACTCCACGTCCTAGTGGAAAGGAGGGGATTCTTTTTTCTATGCTACCCTTTCTTACCCTCCCAGGTCTTACAGGACAGGTGCTTCTCTCTGGCTCCCCAGAAGCCCCTGCTTACCATGCTCTGACCTTTATCTTCTCTATCCTGTCAGACATAACTTCCCATCTCTTATCCCTTCCTAGCACCAATTTGTGGACCGCTATCTTTCAAGCAGTCAAACCCAAGATTTTTTGTACATCAGAATCATACAAGAAAGACAGAAAATTTTAGATTACCCCTACTAGCCAAAAAGTTCTTATTCAGGAGGTCTAGGCAGTACCAGGCATGAGGGCCTCAGTGGTCCTCCTGTTTAGTGCACATCAAAATAACTTGGGGAGTTTTAAAAAACACACATGTCCAGATGCCATCCTAGACCTCCTGCAAGTGTTCAATAAATAAGGGCAAGGATTTGTCATTTTGTTTGCCATTATATCTCAATGTCTAACATGCATCAGCAGAATGGTCTCGTATGGGCCTATGGTCTGAATAACATTGGGGAATGCCGTTGACATCTACATAGATTTCTGATTGGCACAATGTGGTGGCCTTGAAACATAGGCATCTGATAAACACTAGGCAAATGAATGGGTGATTGGGAAAGTCTTTTGAAAGCATATTACTTCTCAAGAAGCAAAACATGTTAAAGATTGTAATAGACCACAGTGAGGTTAGTTGTTTGTGGTAGGTTGAAGAATGGCCTCAAAGATGCCCACGTCCTAATCCCTGGAACCTGTGAATACTTTACATGGCAAAAAGAACTTTGCAGGTATATTAAGGATTTTTTTTAAATTTCAGCTTGTTTCAAATATAATTGACCTACAACACTGTAAGATATTTAAGCGTACATCATGGTGATCTGACACATATACATTGTGAAAGGATTCCCCCCCAGAGTTAGCTAACATATCCAACACTTCATATATTTATTTTGTGTGTATGTGTGTGAGAGAACATTTAAGTTTTACCCTCTTAGCAAATACCTAAATACAAGACAGTGCTATCAACTATAGTCACCATTTAGATATTCAGACCTTATTCTGCTTACAGCTGGAAGTTTGTACCCTTTAACAATCTCTCCTTGTTTCCCCCACGCCCCCAGCTCCTGGCAACCACTTTCTACTCTCTGATTCTATAAGTTTGACTTCTCTTTTTTTTCTTTTTTTTTAGATTAAGGATTCTGATAGGAAATCATCCTAGATTATCTGGGTGGGCATGATGAAATCATATGGCTCCTTACAAGTTAAGAGAGGGAAGCTGGAGGGTCAGAATCAGAGAAAGAAATGTGGTGATGGAAACAGATGTCAGAACAATGAGATTGCGGGAAGGGGACCACCAGCCAAGGGATGGACGTATGCAGCCTCCAGAAGCTTGAAAGAACCAGGAAGCAGTCTCAGAGCTTCCAGTGGGAATGCAGCCCTGTCAACACCTTGACTTTAGCCCAATGAGGCCCATTTTGAGCTTCTGACCTTCAGAACTGTAACATAATAAATTGTGTGGTTTAAGCCACAAAGTTTGTAGTGATTTGTTATAGTAGCAATAAGAAAATAATATACCTTTCAAGGGATGATTCATAGGAAGGAATTTCATGAAGGGAAGTGTATTCATTTACTGCTGTTGCATAACAAGTAACCACGCACTTGGCTGCTTAAAACAACCCCTATTTACTCTCTCACAGTCCTGTACGTCAAAGTCAGGTGGGCTTGGCTAGGTTCTCTGCTTGGGGTTCCACACAACCAAAGCAAAGGTGCTGGCTAGGCTGTGCTTTTATCTGGAGGCTCTGGGAAAGAATCGCTTCCTAGTCACTTAGGCTGCTGGCTGGATGCAGGTCCTTGGGAGCTGAGGATTGCATTTCCTTGCTGGCTGTGAGCCAGGGGATGATAGCAACTTCTAGAAGCCACCCACATTCCTTGCCAGGGGACCCCTCCAACTTTAAGCAGGCCAGCAAGGGTGCATCAAATTCTTTATGGGCTTAAGATCTCTAACTTCCTCTTTTGTGACCAGCTGGCACAAACTTTGCTTTCAAAGGGTTCATGTGATTGGGGCAGGCCCACTGGGCCATCTTCCTTGGCCATATAATATACTGGTCATAGAGTGATATCTCATCCTAATCACAGGTTGCACCCACACTCAAAAGGAAGGGGCTAACTTTGTCAAAAGGACAAGGGTCTTTGGGGGCCATTCTTAGAATTCTGCTTGCCACACAGAGTTTATGTGCAGCCCTGGTCAGCATTTAAAAGCAGCTCTCTTCTGAGGACTACAGGCAAACAATCCCACATCCAGAACGAGGCATATCCTCCATTAGCTATGGATGAACAGAAAAGGGACTTTGGGTTAGACTGGGGGTGGGAAATGGGAGGTTGAAATAAAAAGGAACCTTAAATGATTCATTCACGGATTTTAATCATTAGGACTTTATCTTTCATAGATTCTTGATTTTTAGATGAGTAAATTCCATTAGCATTCACTCAGTCTTATCGCAGTGTCTGCAGTTTTCAGTAGGGGATTGAGTCAGACTCTAACTTCCTCCGTCCTTGCTTTCCCGCCCTCTCCCAGACCTGACTGCTCCCTTAGACAAAAGGGATACACATTTTGACACCAAATGTCATCAAAGTCCCATTGTGAGTTGAGATTCTCATGCAAATCAAAGCACTATAAAGAAAACAGGAAGGAGCTCCTGAATGTGTGAGATCTTTCTTAAGCAAGTCCTTCATTTTCTTTAAGCAGTGGATTTCTATTCTTTCCACCAGGCGGATTCATTTTGGTTTTAAAAAAATCATTGAACTTTAAAATTCACATCCATTTTCCTGTAGTTTAGAAATCTTCTGAGAGCCAGCTATTTCTTCAATCACTCTCCGTTAAGTAATTCTTATTCAATTTCTAATCTACAGGGTTTTCTGACTTTCTGCCTTCAAAGAGATTTGGTAGACAGGGATCACAGCAGCCTCATCTTATCCTGAAGTTCTGCCACCCACCCAGAGTCTATGCTGATATTTAGAGCTATTTTTGTCCTATCTTGTTAATGTCAAAGAACAAAGCTAAGGTCCCACAACGGAAGCTCTTGGGAGCATCCGCTCAGTTACTTTTATATTCTCCACTTTCTTTTATTTCCTGTCATGTCTTGCTTCTTCATAAGGTTATCCAGTTTGGAATTCATAACTTGTTTTCTGATATTTGCCCATTCCCTGAACAGGAGAATCTTAGCTCCTCCTCTCTCCTAAAAGCAAACTGATTGATGATTGGATCTTTAATATCCTACCCGGCCCCTCTTCTTCCCCATGAAAATCTGAAGAATTATGAACGGAGATTGTTACATTGTATCTCATTAATAGCTTCCCATTATACATTTCAAAAAGGAGCTTTCAGAAAATTTTCATATTTGTATACATAGAAAACAAGCTGTTAAGAATTTAATTCCCATGTACGAGCATGAAATGCCAGCCCAGGAAATTTCTTCATAACACATTAGAGGTAGGGGTTAGATCATAGTCTTCTGTCACCCCTTTAGAGCCCTTGTTCTAAGCTTATGCTGTTCATTTTGATACAGACCTTTTCTCAGTCATTTGCCAATGTCCTGTGGCAGTCATTGGTATAGGTATTTGATAGTATTCAAAGAATCTAGGAAGAGCTGAATTCTTTCTGCTCCTCAAGCTTACCTTCTTCCATGCATTCTCAAGAAAACAAGAAAAATGAAAACCCATTTACAATTTTATTATAAATTATCCCAGGCCTCAATTTCTCCACAGTGAAGCACTCTGGAAAGCCTGGAATCCGTCCCCCTCCCCACCCAGACCCGAGTGCACCTGAAAGGAGAAGAGGAGAGAGCTGGGGGACCAGATGGCGGGGTCTCCTCAAGGACCCAGGCTCGGTCGCTCCTGACCAGTTGCTCAAGAAGAAAGGAAATGGAGGTGCACGTTTCTGTGAAACTTCTCCCTCCACCCTCTGCTTTTTCACCACTGGACTTCTTTCCATCCTCAAAACACACCAGTTTCTTTTCTCTCTCTGAACCTTGCATTTGCTCATCATGAGCTTCTCCAAAAGTCACTTTTTCCTGACCTTCAGGTCATAATTCAGATGTCACTTCCTCTGAAAGCTCTTCCTCAGCCATCCTAGTCAAGGCATCATTCCTGGCCCTCTCCACATATGAGCCTACTTCACACTCTTTACAGCATTTATTGACAAAGCATGTGTGTTCCTAGTCCGCCTCCTCTTGTTAGAATGTCAGGGGAATGCTCTTATTCATTGCTGCATATCCAGCACCTAAAAACATCACATGGTTCATAGCAGATGCTCAGCAAGCACTGATTGACTGGTTCTTCATGACCCCATTCCTTAGTACACATAATCCAATCAATGTCTTGAAATCTGGCCAATCAGATCAGCATTACCGTTTCTAGGGGAGGAGTGACAAATAGGATGAGAAATCCTCTGTATTCGTTATCTATGGCTGCCTGCATAGCAAACTACCCCAAAAGGTAATGGCTTAAAACAATGAACATTGATTACCTCAGTTTTGGTGGTGGAATTCAGAATTGGCAAAGCTAGATGGTTCTTGTTCTGGGCTTCTCATGGGCTGTCAGTTGTCTGGAGCTACAGCCCTCGAAAGGCTTAATGGAGCTGGAGGATCTGCTTCCAGGAAGGCTCACTCACATGACTGTTGGCAGGGGGCCACACTTCCTCGCCACACTGACCTCATCATCAGGCTTTGTAAGCCTCTTAACCACCTGGCAGTTGGCTTCCCTCAAGCCTATGATACAGAAAGAAAGGCAGAAACCACAAAGTCTTCTATGACCTTGCCTTCAAAGCAACAACCATCACTTCTTCTCTATTCTATAGTCCCACATTCCAAACCTGGAATAGTGTGGGAGAGAACTACACAAGGGTATGAATCCCAAATGGCAAGGGCTAGTGGGGGCCCTTGAAACTATCCATCACACCTTTCTTCATTCCATTGCTTAGATTTTTTTTTTATGTCTGCAGAACTGACTTGCTGTGATAGATTAGATAGGAACAGATCAGGGGAAGTGAAGACTAGGAACTTAGCCACTGACTGGAGGGTTGGAGTGGATGGACCCTGTATGCAAGATGCAGAGAATTCCAGTTTGGCAGGCGGTGCAAAGTATCTGGAGAAAATGACAAGAGAGAACAGTGCCAACTGTAGAAAGTCGTCCACAAGACATGGAACAATGTATAAAAGGAGGCCAACAAGAGGACAGAGCCCAGGGATGGGCACCCACAAGCAGACTGTATTTGAAGATTAAAGCAGAAAGAAATCCAGAAAGTTCATGGTGGAGTATCAGACTCCAGCTCCACACTTAAGTTACCAAAACAGGACTCCGATCTCAGAGACTGTTCCAGCAAGTCCTTCACTTTTTCTTGTCATTTTCCATTGTTTCCCTCAAAAATGATTCGAAAGGTCATTGCTCACTTCATTTCCTGAGTCATAGAAGATTCCCTGCTTCTCATCAAATTGAGACATTTGAAGTCAATGTCCTTTCTTTACTGTGTCCCTTCCTGCAGCCAAAAATGATGAACAACCTCTCTGATAGTAAACAGAAACAAAAAAGCCTTTCTTTATGTTCTGAAAGTGCTGGGTCTCATCCAACATCTTAGCTTTTCTTGTCATCCAAACTCCACACAGAAGCCGAAACCCAGCATTTCTCCTTCTTCACCTCCTATTTACTCTGAAATCTGGTTTATTTCCTGCTATTCTGATATAACTCAGTGAGGTTACCAACCACATCCCTATTTTACTACAGAAGTTGTCTGCAATCCTTTTCCTCCAAGGGCCTTTCTCTCACACCCAGGACGCCAGGACCGCCCTCTCTTAAGGGAGCACCCCCAGCCTTCGGCTTCCACGACACCCTTCCCCCTGGCTGTCCTCCTCCTTCTAACTGCTCCTCTGGAAAGCCCCTTACTTTGATTTTGGATCGCTGCTCCTTCCACTCCACAAGCCCCATCTGAGCGACCCAGCACTCTTGCAGCTCAACTGTGACTTCTGTGCTTACACCGGACATTAGATTCCCAAGGGCAGACCTTTCCCAGGAGCTTCACATTCCTGTGATCATGTGACGTCCCCCTGCCGGGTCTCCCCAGACAAGTGCCCTCAACTGTCTGTACAACATAACACGTCACCAGCCTCCCTAAGTCTGCTTCTCATGCATATTTGTTCTCATTGGCTGGCAGCACTATCTACACGGGCCCAAGCTAGAAAGCAAGGTGTCACCCTTGATGGCTTTCTTTCCCTCATCCTCCCATTCACTCAAACATCAGCCCTGCTGGCAGTAGTTCTTCGCTGCCTAGTGATCCCTTTCTCTCCATCTCCTCACCTTACCCTAGTTGAGGCTATCATTATTTCTCTGCTGACTACTTGACTAGTTTCCTAGCTGGTCTTCCCACTTCCCTTTAACCCTCCTTAAAACTTTCTTTCACAGAGCTGCCAATGGACTCCATCTACAATCACAAGCTTGACCGTCATGGACAGAAACCCTTTGATGGTTTCCCCATTGTCTTCAGTTTAAAGCGAAACTGTATCACGTTGCACACAAGATGGTGCAGGAGCTGGTGCCTGCCCTTCTTGCTCTCTAATTTCATGTTCTTGCATTTCCAGGAATGCTAAATACCATGTTCTTGCATGAACACACCACATTATTTCTTGCATTTTGCTTTTGGTAATGCTAAACCTTCTTCATGGAATGCATATTTCCATTTTGCCTGCCCAATCCCTGCTCCTCCTTTAAAGTTCATCTCAGGCTGACCTCTTCCAAGGGGAATCATCCGACTGCCTCCATCTGCCCTGACGGTCTGGGCATCCTCACCCGGAGCCCCCAGGAGAGCATCCATGGATCTCTGACACTGCACTCCCCCCTGGCTCCCCAGAAGCCTCTCAGCAATATGAGGGCAGACGCTGGGCCTTTTGTAGGGTATCCTCAACACTCTGCCCAGTACTTGGCATATCACGGGCCTTAGCAACCTCTCTGTTAACTAATGAAGCGAACTGCCTGAGAAGAATTTTTCCACTTTCCAGTGCAGGGTCAGAACAGAGAATGTCCTCTACCATGCCTTGGCAATTGGCACAAATTCCCATTCTACGGGCCTCAATTCTGGATTGGCACTCAGGATTGCACAGGTCATGACCTCTCGGGTGCTAGAAAGCTGAGGCAAGCAGGAAGCATCCCCCCTCAGGAGGTGGTGTCTCTGGGCAGTCACATGCATGTGGAGGCTGCCAGGGCTAAGGGACATGGGAAGTCAGGAGGGCTGAGGAAAACCCACAATCACCTAGAAGCGAGAACACCCGGACAACAGGCTGTGCCTCACAACCCCTCTCCAGAAAGGTCTGCTCATGTCACTAGATTCTGGTCAACAGGACTTCAGTGGAAACGGTATTAAATTTATGTAAAATATCCTTAAATGGAATGTATCGGCTCTTCCCTTTTCCTCCATTCTGCCGGCTGGAATGTGGATAGTTTGACTGGGCCTGGAGAAATACCATCTTGGATCATGAGCTAACCATGAACACAGGCCACTGAGGGAAGAACAATGAAAAGAATCAAGGTCAAGGACACCTACAGCCCCATACTGGCCTTGGGCCATGCCTTTCACTCTTTTATATGAGAGAGAAATACTTTTCTATCTTGTTTAGCCAAACCTAACCATAAGAAATATAGGCAGTTCATACAACATTCCTAGGGAATTCCGAGCTTCTTAATGCCCTACATCTCAACTATATTCCTGGACTTGAAGGTGTAATGTTTTTACTTATTCAAGATTTTACTTACTGAGGATTCATGGAATGAGAGCCATCCAAACAGTCAGAGTGAGTTTGGAAATAGAATACAGCTGCAAATAAGTTCCACAGGAAAACTTACTGGCATTTTGAGGAAAAATAATGCTGTTGAATGCTTTCCTGACTGCTGATGAGGTCACACATACTGACAACACATTCTCCTCCCAGCAATGTCTATGCTTTTAACTCAGTCTGGTGTGTTATACTACAGGCAAAACTGACCAGTGAACGGGATGGGATAGTGCTTATGAGGTTGACAGATCATTCCTTGGGGTGAGGAATTTCCTGAAAGAGTGAAGGAGCCCAGAAGATACTCCAGGCCATAGCGAGCTGTCTCCTGAACCCATTCTACCACTCAGAGATGTATCTGGACGAACACTCCTGAGAAGTCGCAGCTGCATCAGTCATCCGTACTTCTGTGAAAATTGTGTTCAGTCAGACCAATAATTAGCAGTGGGCAGCTTCAAGGGAATGGAGTTTGCAAGGAGGCAATAATGAGGAGAAAATAATGGTGGTTCATTTGGGCGATGCTAGGCTTGACTGGGACCTGGCAGGTCAGAGTCTACAGGGCTGGGGGAAGGGGAGTGTTAGAGGCTTGCCTGGACTTGCCTGGAGGCTGGAAATCAGGGCCTGGTCTCCGGTGGCCTAGTCCCACGAGCTGATGGTGGCAATCATTTAGCGAGAGCTACTGATGAGGAGACTGAGTCCCAGGGGATTTAGGGAATTTACGCTGGTCAAAGAGAGTCAAGCTGTCAGACCCCACTTGGTCTGACCCCCAAAATGCAGATATCGTCAGGGCAGGGCCACCAAGGGCCTTTCCATCCAGCTTCTTCTCACTCTTTCCAGCAGCTCGTGGAAAGACAAGAAGAAACAAGGGACAAGAAGGGCCAGCTTGCTGTGCAAAAGGACAGAGAGAAACAGCCTGGCCCCCCACTTGATCTCTGCCCCCTGGTCCTCTCCATCTTTCCTATTGCTCTTGGGATTTTCAGTGCTTCCCAAACCTGGCTGCTTAGGGAAATTTTGCAAATAGAGATTTCAGGCCCCAAGCCCAGCCGACTAATTCTGAAGGCTTTGGTGGTGTGACCTGCAGCCCAGGCTGAGGATAACAGGGAATGGGGGAAGAGAGAAGCCTCAGAAATCTGCTTCTCAGATACAAAGTCCTCCTGTGTGTTCAAATCTTTTATGACCCCAAAAAACTACCTCTGTGTAAAGCCAGTGAGATGAGTTGAGAGAAACATCATCCCCTGTTGGAGGCTCACAAGGAAAATACAGACCAGGAAATGATATGGAAACCAAGCATTCCTTAAAATGCTTCCTCAGTTTCCTTAAACAGTCTATTCCCCTTTGGTAGTGGGTGTAACTCCAGGGGGAGGGGGGGAATCTTTTTCCCAGCCCAGGTCAAATTACCTTTGAAACCAAAATCAGTCAGAGGGAGAAATAAGGTGGGAGAAACTCATTCATTGCTTACAAGCAGTTGTCCACTTCTGTTTGCCCGTGTCTCTCACCACCCAGCTTCAAAAAAGGGACCCCACCCAACCTCTCCAGTCCAGATATGGCCTCACTCCCCCTTGGAATTACTTACTGTTATGGAGATGGACCACTTCTTCCCACCCCTTGGAAACGCCTATTGATATAGAGATGCACTAAGGCCAGGCCAAGAGATTCTGGAAATATTGCAATTTTACCCACAGTAGGGAAGCAACGATCCTGACCTAGGAAAACGGAAAAGTAGGTGAAGCTCATCCTGGCTTTCCTTCATCTTTGCTTTGCTCTGAACAGGTGCCCAGCTCATCCAGTCCCACAGTCGCTCTGAACACTGCTTCCGCACCCCTTCCCAGCCCTGTGCTTTGCAGGCGATGCATCTTCCTGCTCGTTCCACCTTCTTTGTTCCCAGACTCACCTAAAATTCAATATCCTTATGTTTATTAGGCCAAGAGAGTTGTCACTCACAAAGCAAGCTAGTAAGTGGTTATCCCTTGAGGTACTGATGACTTCCTACATTCCCTAGAGAGTGCCACACTTTCTGTCACCCACTCTGTTTCCTCATAGTGTTGCTTGTAAGATCTTCGTGAGAGGCTATATGCTAAGGAATTCAGTAATTCCCTTGAGAACAGCCAAAAATTGATGAAATGGTTACAACATAGAATATTGGCATTTTGGAAATCTAGCTCCTGGTGACTAAAGATGTAGGTGAGGACAACAAGCCAGTTTTACAGTGTCACCCTGGATCTATTGCCTTGAAGTATTTTTGAATAAAATAATTGTATATCCTGCTTTGTTCAAGCAGAGTGACTGTCATCTATTCTTGCATGAGCACTCAATGGTGGCAGCACGATCAGCAGAGTGGCCTCCTGATTGTCTCCATTCAAAGAGAGAGCTGTGAGATGGGCCATTCGAAGTCAAATTCTACTTAATTTAAGAACATACACACTGATTCGGGGTACCAGGAGGTTTGCTTTATGACTGCAGAATGTTAGAAAGAGAAGGGGCTTCTCAGAGTCTATTTTTCTTTGGCTGATGACAAAGTTGGTTTACCACCTCTGTGCACCCCTGCTAGCTCCCAAGGAAAGAGGAAGCTCTAAGGATTGGTGTGTACTGAGGGCTGGAGAGAGATTAAACACCTTCAAAACATATGGACACAGTGTCCTCCAAAGCCTTCTTCCTGTCCCTCAGTAATCAGCAAATCAGCAAAACCAGATCAATTTCTGATGGTTGAGGATCCTAGTAGTATTTCCAAGAGGAGATATTCAGTGTTCCATTTACGGAAAGATGTCCCCAAACGCCAAGAGACCCTTTATTCAGGACACACCACCCTAGATGAAGAACAGATGCATAGGATGCTGTATTATACCAGTGACATGGTGAGCAAAGTCAACTGAAAGTCCCCAGAATCCCCATCCTGTTAGCAGAAATGCAAAAATCACAACAAATTCACAAGCATTGTTGGGTAAGGGCTCTTTGTGAATATTAGGTGATGGTAAGATGCCCTTTCAATCTTTGCCCCTCTGGGCCCTCCAATCCCTGTACACCCACAACCTTTTTTCTACTTGGCTATTGTGACCTGGACAATACAATAGCTCAAAGTCCCCCTGACTCAGCTTTGACTTCAAACACGTACTTGCTGTGACACTTAACTCTTTTAAAGGTTGGTCCTGCCATGCAGGTTTTTATATTTAATTCAAACATTCCCATAAAGCGTATGAGATACTAGATCATTCCCCCATGGCCCATACTTTGACTGGGACTCTGTGTTTATAATA